TTGTAGCAGCAATATAACCTTTCTTCTTAACACTGGTCTATAAATTAGAGGTGATATAACAGTATCAAAAGATTTTTAGACTTTCAATAGCAATTTGTTTTCTTTTGTTATATAATTTTATAATGTTTGTATGTATAATATTTCTACAGTAAGAAATATAACTGGGTTGGAGATAGTTCTATGCGAGTTGAGTAAAATGAATAGAGTCTATCACCATAAGCGTCATCTCGGTTGCATCTACGTTTGCAGCCATTCCTTTGCGAAATATTTCTTGTGAATATAGGAAGATGGAAAGAGTAGAACCAGAACCGTCAACACAAGTTCAATCTATTTTGGGTCGAGACTGACTAGATTCACTTTGAAAGTCCTTGCTACGTGCCTATTCAAATGAAATGTGCTTGAACCAGGCTTCCAACTAAGTTCCTTACTACAATAATTGCAATATACTTTCTAAACATCCACTAAATTTTGAACACCAATTTTTTTTCGTGTCATATGTTGCCAACACTCAGATAATTATTTATTTGACCTTTTAGTTTTGAGTATTTCTTCCTCTTGTATTTCTTTCAAGTCAATTGGAATTTTTCAGATACTTTGTAGCTGGATAGAGTACTCGAACTACCCTTAAATTGGCTAACTTCATTACTAGTAAAATCCATTGATATTTATGAAATTTGGAATACTTAAAATTGAAAAATTATAGCAAAAAATATCGAAGCAAAGAAGTTAGAGAGTAGTATTGAAAAATAGAATACTGTAAATTAAATATTGTTGAGTGAAGTTGATCTCAAATCCAAAATTTTATTTGCCTATTTATAGGCAAAAAAATTGTCCCATTCAAAAATTGGAAATTGATTTGAATTTCAAATTCAGCCAAAACTAGTGTAGCTACCGACAGCTACATGCAGCTGCCTACATGCAGCTCCTTGATGCATCATGCAGCTATGTAGCTGCTTGCTCATACATGTATTTGCTTGCACGCAAGCAGTTAAACAGCTTAGACTGCTTGTGTACAAGTTGCAATGGATAGCTATAGTAGCTTTCTGTATAATCACAACCCATGAGCCTTTTTTGGCCTATCACACTAGCTGGACCAAAGTGGCTCGTTGAGCCACATAGGTAGGCTCAAGCTTGAGCCGTTACTCAAAAATGAGGCTCGGTGGACACAAGCCACGAGCCGAGCTGGCTTAGGCTATTTTCGGGCCAAGTTGCGGGCCATTTGTCATCCCTAATTGTTTGTTTTGGAATGTGTTTTAGTTCGTTGCCTATGTTTGATGTGTAACATTTAATGTAATTATACTTTGTTAATGTGTATGAAACTTTTTGTGAGCCTTATATTACTTTTAAGCTGAGTTTTCAAAATTTTACACATTTTGCCATGTCTGACAATTATTATTTCAAAACTCTTTAACTCTCATACTCATTTTCAATCACATGTTTATAAATAAAATATTTTATGCTTAAATTAAATTTTTTTCCTAATTTTTAACCACACATTTTTCAAAAACTCACTATTCAAAATTATATTTTCTCAAAATATTGGACATCAAACAAGGACTTTATGGACATTTGTCTAAAGTCCCCTTAATTAATAAATATTAAGAAGTGGAAATTAGACTCAGTACCCTCAAAAATAAAATATTAGATAAATACCCTTAAAACTAATTAGAACTATATTAATTACATCAAAACCTTGAAAGCCCACAAATTGATTTTGTCACTTTTTTGAGTTTTTATCACTTTTTGTTTAATAATCTTTCTTTTTTATTTTTACAAGATTAAGAGAGAATCATACCACAAAACTATTGTTTTAAAGGGACATGATATGTCACTTTTTATGAAAATTTTAAATGATACTTTTTATCAGTAATATACATTAACCCTTTCAAAAAAGTGACTTGATATGTTACTTTTTAAACAAAAAATGACATACACTTTGAATTTCATAAAATTGTTGCCAAATTTAGATTATATGTAAGTACAAGAACCCTAATCTCTTTTTGACAATGTCAAAACCTAATTTCTTAAAAAAGTAACATGTATGTCAATTTTTTTTAAATGATATTTATGTTTTAACAATGATTGTTTTAGCAATTTACCAAGACAATAATTTTAGTTATTCTATCACTTTTATATTCATTATCTTATTCTTATTTGTCTCCATAACAGGTAAAGAAGTTAATTTTATCTATATTTGCAAAAAGAATACAAATGAAATAGTATGAGATTTTTCCAGAAAAAGTGATAGTATGTCACTTTCAATTTCCAACAAATTAACTCATATGCAAAAATACAAATAATTTGTTACATCATGCCACTTTTTACTGTAAAGTAATATTTGAATTCATATTCATATTCAATTTTTCACAAACACACATTATGCATTTCTTTAGTTGATGAGAAAGAATTTAAATGAGATAGATTGCGACCTTTCTAGAAAAAAGTGATAGAGAATCACTTTCAATTTTAACATTTTAATCGATTACAAAAATAAAAATAAAGTGTTTCATCATTTCACATTATATTGTAAAGCAATGTTCAAATTCATATTCATATTCAAATGTACGCACACACCTTTATGCATCTACTTGATTGCTCCAAAGAAAATCAAATGAGATAGATTGTGACTTTTTCAAAAAAAAAAAAAAGTGACAGCGAATGTCACCTTTTTATTCTCATTTTCACAAACATCTTGCACGCATTATTTGGATTGATCAAATTTAATTTTCATATATACTAACTCAATCCAATTCATTGCATCATGTCACTTTTTAATGTAAAACAATGTTTGAATTCGTATTTATATGTAAATTTTCAAGACTCGAAAATTCAATTCAAACATTATTTGGGTGATGTCGATTATTCAATATTTCTTTTGTTTTCTTCTTCATAACATGCTAGTCTAGTTTTATTAGTGCTAGGAGAATAATGAATCGTGTAATATGAGTTTTTTTATTTTTAGTTTTATATATTTGACATTGAAAACACATTTTTGAATATTAAATGATTTATATGATTTTCTTTTCTCCACAATTATTGTGCACAGTAGTTGTATGAATGTGATGACATACTTTATGCATTCGAAAGACGGAAAATATATTTGGCATATATAAATTGTCATAAGGTCCAATATGGGATATAAGTATACCGCTATACTCTATACGAATATTCAAGTGTTCATAAAAACTCATACACTTTTATATGTTTGTATCCATCATAGAAATATAGTCTGATCATATATAAAAGTAAGTTTAACATTACTCGAGAGAGGTTGTTAAATAAAATAGGAACATTGATTCGTCAAAATTCAATCGTGTTGTCAACGTGTAAAATCAAGATTAAAGCTGATTATTGTATGAGAATTCAGGATCCTAGCTTGTTTGTTATTTATTAAACACATTAATATGCTTTTAGAATAATTTGCATTTAATTTAGTTAATTTACTCATAATTTTATAAGTAGATTAATTTAGTTATAATTTTGTCACAAACAAACACGTAACATTATCCTTGTTACAATTAAAGTTGTGATAACTAAAATTGAACTAATCAATTTCAGTGGGACGATACTTGGACTCAATTCTACTTTATTACTTGTCAACAAACCGTACACTTGCGGTGGTTTGCTTGATATGTAGGCAGTTGGGCTGATATAGGCAGGTAATATAGGGTTTCTTTTCTTTTGGTTGAATAATAACAGAATCAGCATACGAAGAACCAATTGAGGTGTGATCAGTAGCAATAAGTTGAACTTATTTATTTTTTTTTTGAAACTGATGAAAATATTGATTGAACTTCTGAGGATTGAGCAATACCCACAAACAGTACAATTTTTTAAACTATAAACTAAGAAATAGGAAAAAAAATTATTTAGTTGTTGCTGCCATATCTGTTTGTTTGGTGGGGTGAAAATTTATGGTTGCGCGTTGTGGCGGATGAAGTGAATATGATTTGATGCAAGACCAATTAAAACAAATAATGGAGAATGAAAAACAAATCTACAGATAAAAGAGAATTAGAGGCAAGAATAACAGAAGAAGAAAACAATAGAAGGATAAGAAGAATAGGGAAAAAGAAAATAATAGAAGGACAAGAAGAATAGGGAAAAATGAGGAAACTTTGGCAACAACCACAAATTATTTATTTCATTCATCAACTATCTCAATTACAATGCAAAAACCATATATATAGTAAAATCTAACCCTACTAGTGAAGGGCGTCGGCCAACCCAATAATAAAAAACATAAACAAAAAAAAAAAAATTCTCTATAAGTGTTCGCATCATAACAACAAACCTCTCTGCAATGCCACCCCTTCTGCATCTGCTACTAAGCAAGAACCTGAGACCTTCATCGACATAGTTGTCATTGTGCTACCCTCATGGTCTTCCACCACAACACCAACTTAGATAAAATCGACCATTGTCACCTCTGAAGGTAGCCGTCAAGACTGCCCTACTTCCTCTGAACCCCCTCTTCAATAGTCTTTCTCTCACCACTCTCCTATTTTGATCTTAAAAAGTATGTCGACTGCCTCTCCAACTACCCTTGGAAGGTTTGTATCCCCCCATAGAGAGCCATATTTCTCTCACCTAAAAGCTCCTACAACAAACACCATATTCTCACCAACTCACTCTTTGAGCTCGTCGCCCAACCAAACAAGAAAATCTGGCATTTCGAACCCCCAACATAACTTTCACCCTCCGCCACAACCCCAAAAGAACTTAAAAGCCTTCTGGAGTCCTTTCAAAAGACTAATACAATTTTTCTCCAACTGGTTTGACTGAAAACACAAACCATTGTATCCTAATGTATCCTCTACTTAGATTCACCGTTGTGGGTAGCTTATCGTAGAATGGGCGCTACGTAGAAATATGCACCTTATGAGGTGCAACAAACTTCCAAATCTATGCCAATCATTGCGTAGTTACAGCGTTGCAAGTATATTTCGTAGGTCCTTTGGCCATCACCGAAACTTGGAGACCAAGACCTTATATCTCGATGCAAAGAAGCTGAAATTTTGAAGAGGCTCATTAATAGGGTGTTTGGTGGGGATTAAACTTAGATTTTTAGTAAATTGTGATAGAAATTTTTGAAATGTGTGGTTAAAAAGTTGTGGGACCCATGAAAAATGCGTTAATATTGATTGTTTGACTTTGACTTGAATTAAAATCAGATTTTAATTCGAACCAAACATGAGCTCAATAAGTAAGAATTGCTAAGCACTACCTTTATCAGCACTTT